AAGGAGCTATCTTCAGCTAAGACAGTCTCATTTTTGTAACAGGGTGGTTGGCCTTTGGAATGGGTTGCTTTTGGATGTTGTAGAGGCAGTAAATTTAAGTTAGTTTAAGAAAAAACCTGATAAGTATATGAATGATAAGGGCTGGCTTTAAGATTTTTAAAAGTTCATTTATTAATAGTTTAGAGGATGGAACAGCCTAGACAGGCCAAAAGGTCCCATGTTGTCCCAAAATGCTATGTTATGTTATCTTAACCTAGAATCATTCTAGTAGCTGTTTTCTACCATTAAGCCAATTTATTAACCAATTATTAATATTTCCACAGCTTCCATAAGCTTAATCTTTCATGAAGTACCTTATCAAACATTTTCTAACAGTCAACATACACAAAATTAATCAGAATAGTCAGCCAAAGAAGTAAAAATCGCTGTCAAAAAACTCCATTAAGGTAGTAAAGCAAAAGAACAACTAATTTAACATCAAATACTTTTATCAGCAACTTCTAATGATAAGCCTATAGATTCACGGATACTGACTGAACTAAAAAAAAAAAAGTGCTAAATTAAGCTTTTTAACATTTCTTTTTTATATATAAAAGTTGTTTTTGATAATTCTACTATTTAATTAATCTTAGAAGATTTTTGATGAGGAGGGTAGCAAACCTTTTTTTTGGATTGTTTAAAGTAATTCTTCTAACTCCATTTTCTTGACTACATAGGGTGGGTTTTTCTTGTGTTGGGCATATAGATGAAGAATGAATGCATACTCTGCCCTGAAACAGAAATCATTGACAAAGATTGACAAGGTATACCAGGATTTAAGGTAAAACCCGAGTTAATACAATTTATATTTATAAACAAAGATAACTTAACAAGTTTGTAACCATGCAGAAAAAGTCAAAAATCCACTCTAGAGAAGCTATAATTTCTCAAAAAATACCTTTTACTTTCATATATATTTTTACTAAAGGTAGTGCATGTAATTACCCATACAACTATAAACAGATATGAAGTCATCTACCCATAAACTTATATATGCCACCATATTGTTTATCAACAAACTTGATAAATACTTAAATTACATGTGATATGTTTTTAATTTGCTTAAACTATTTTAATAATTTTAAAATTTAAATTTAGATGTTCATGAAGCACTGTTGTTACAGCAAGTATTGTAGTGACTCTAAATGTTCTTAACCCATAACTAAAATTATAATAAAAATGGATAGGTATAACAATGTTACTGCTACTACTTATATAAACAAATCTAACCCAAAGTTGTTTTTGTTTTCTTTTTGAAGTAAAGCACAATGATATGCATGGTTAAAAATTAAATGTACTATTGGACCTCTTCTACAATTACTTTAAAATCTTTGTAACCTAAGGTAAAAGAAGAGAGATATATCTATGAACTAATAGTGAAACTTTAAAGCCCATATGCAGTCCTAAAAAGGATCAATGATGTGATGTACTGTACTTTATTAGCAACACCCTATTGCAACTTGTTAAACAATAAGTGGAAATCATCAAACAGAGATACTTTACAGTAACATAAAACAGAATTCATCTTGGAGGAAATATCTTCATGATTTCAGCTCAATGGGTGAAATGGAACTCCAAATCCAGGTTAAACAAAATCTCAAATCATGTTGTCTAAAACAAGCATGTTGTGACTCAAGATGACAATACTCAATAGTCCCAGTAATGACAGTAAACTGTCAGCAAAATATTCCCAGCCAAATTATCATGGATGACAAGGAAAAAGACCTCCTGACACATTTGCTTCCTGAACAAGTTATGGAATTGTAGAGTACAATAACTGTTCTTCAAGGGATTTTGTACTGCAGCACACAGTTACAGCTTATTATATACAAGTTTTTACAAGTAGTTTACTTTTGAATGTTTTGTAATATAGTTGTGAATAATTATTATTAATTATAAGTTTGGATTTTACTTAACAATGACCTCAATGAGACAATTTTGCCTCATGTCATCAAGGTTACTATTTTTAATGTTCTTATCTATCTTTGAAATTTTATCAAATTTTAAGTGTATAAATGTAGCTTAATCTTTTGCAAATGGAAAAATTACATTACCTTTTTAATATATATCACAAAAAATCCAAAAAATGATATTTTAGATTATATGAAATAATAAAAGAAAATAATTAAGACATTGATTAAAATATTAAATTTCGGTGAATTGAAGGGATCTTTGTCTCTCAGTTATTGTTCCTGTATTTGGATATTATTATAGCATTGATACTGAAGTTTAGTGTTTTACTGGTTGTTGGTTATTAATAGGTAAGTAGAAAGCAGTGATATGAACTATCTTCACTGTGCCCACTGTTGTGCAGGTTTTTTTTGGTTTTTTTAAGAGTTCAACTTCAAGTTTACTCAGATTTGACAGTAAGACTTTAACTTTAAGTTTTAACTTGAATATTAACTTTTGATATTATTATTAGGCATGAGATTAAAAAAGCAGTAATTCCCGAGACAACTGAATTTAATTCTGTTAAAATATCAGTAACTGATACTGCGATAGTCTTACTGATAGATAATGATTCTACTTGTAAATGCAATAAAATATACAAATTACAATTTGATCATTCCTCCTCTGTGGTTTTTATTTTTCATATACTGATAAAGTCTATTACTGTTAGTGTTTTACTACTCACTATTAGTATTACTACTACTAGTTTTAGTATTACTTACTATTACTAGTAATACTAATAGTGTTAGTATTACTATTAGTATCCTAATCATCTGTAAGTTTCAAGTTCAAATATTTCATGAAACTTTGAAAGTCCTATAAATATTGATAAAGAATAAGAGGTACAGTGATTAAACTTTAAACATTTATTAAACACGTACTTGAGGAAAACTGCCATAACGAAACAGCCGAAAGATAAGTACACTCTTGCTACTCACGTAAAACGCCATGTTGAATAACACATACAGAAATATTTGATCAGCATCGGAAAGTTTATATTATGAAAATACAAATAAATATGTGTGTATATAAATATATATAAGAGAGAGGAGATAGAGTAAAGAAATGGACAACTCTGAATTTTGTACTTAACATTTATAGAAACTGACTAGTGAGGGAAAATTATATTTGTTTAGAAAAGAAGTAGAAGTAGTTTCTCAGTATTAACACAACAACTTAATTAGAGCGCTGACTCTTCCTCAAGTCCGAATCCCAAGCCCCCAGTGGCACAGCGGTATGTCTGCGGACTTACAACGCTAGAATCTGGGTTTCGATACCCGTGGTGGGCAGAGCACAGATAGTCCAGTGTGTAGCTTTGTGCTTAATTCCAAAATAACATAGCATAACCGAATTCCAATGTTAAATCTTATTAAAAATGTAAATAAAAAAAAAAATTATCTACCTATCACTCTGGCAAAAACGTAAAAGCTAATAAATTGAATGATGTATTGTTAGAAAGATAATTTCCTCACTTTTGCAATGAAAGTTAAATTTCAAAAATGTTGTCAGTTCGGTTGCAGGATCGGTTTGAAACAAAATTGCTACAGGCCTAGTCTTTCAATCGAACACGCATTCAGCACTTTAAGTTGTGAAGTCGCTATAAGTATAATAGCCAACCCCATCATTTAGTTAAGAATAGCAGTCCGAAGCGGTGAGTGCTGATGACTGTCTGCCCTTTCTCTTTGGCCGACAAGCTCAAGTTACGTGTGATTTCATTTCAGAACCTTAAGGGGCTATGATCTGGTCATTTAGCTAATGTTCCGCTGCAGTTACCGTTAAGTTGAAAATACCAAAGATCACCCCACGTAGCTAAAAAGGAAGTAGCTATCATGTGGAAAGTGCACAGGTTTTTGCTTTGTAAAATAAAACTTTATAGCCTACTAGCAGTCACAGCAGTAATTTGTGACAGACAAAATAGAGCTGAAATGAGATTTTTATACTTCTGTGGTTAGAAACCTATAAAGGATAACTTCAAAGGAACGTAAAGAAAGAAAGAAACAAACAAAAAACATCTATGGTCAAACATGAATCTTTCACATATTTTTTTTTTTGGGGGGGGCTTTTATAAAGTCTCAGCGTTTTTCCTACTTGTGGATTTTATATCATTGCCTTGAATATTTTGTATTACTTTCAAATAGCATTTTTGATATACCTTTGGCTGCTGTAACTTGAATCTAAGGCCTCTTGAGCAGTAATTTTGGTCAGACGAAGGATAGGTTAGGAAACTACACATTTCTGATTATAAGTCCGTAAAAGAGTAGTTGAATTTATTTATTTTAGAAAAAATGGGTAATCTGCGATCTGTCCACTGTGGGGAATCGAACCGAAATATCTTAGCTATTTAGAAGATATGAGGAAAAATATCTGCAGTCAAGCGCAGATAATTTTTTAAACAAATTCTACTTGGCGACAAAGGGTAGCTATTTACTGTTTACAAGTATGAACCCAATTATACGGTAGAGAAAAAGTCGTAATTTATCAACAAATCATTATCGCTTAGTAGTTTAAAATTTCATATACTAGGCGACAAATTTTCTTGACTGGGCGACAGCCCCCCAGTGGTACAGCGGTATGTCTGCAGTCTTACAACGCTAGAATCCGGGTTTCGATACCCCTGGTGGGCAGAGCACAGATAGCCCTTGTGTAGCTTTGTGCTTAATTACAAACAAACAAACAAACAGACTGGGCGACAGGAATTTCGTACTGTCACTATGGAAAAAATGCTCCGATCAATCGTGATTTTGTAGTTAAAACGTTATTTGTTAAGTCACGTGGTAATCTGTTAAACTCATAAAAATCACAAACTTTTAAGGTGATTAAAATACAGTTCAGAATTTTATACAGACTGAAAATGACATTCTAAACATAGGGTTGAAATAGCGAATGTAACAAATAAGTTCACTTTGAAGAAAAATCTGAAGAGTTTAAAGGTTTATTGCTTTATATGTTGTAATAAACTATACATACGTATATCTCAACAAGTGGCTCAATGGCAAATTGGGGGCTTATAACGCTAGAAATCGGGTTTCAATTGATAGCCCATCGTGTAGTTTTGTGCTTAGCAACAACAACAACCAAATAAGCTTATGTGTAAAAATCACTAAAATTCAGATGAGGTAACAGATCAATAAATTTCGTAAAATGCATATTAGCTTATGTAATATTAATGATTTCAAGTTCATGAGATGTGCGTTTGATTTGTTCTGTCTTTAAGAAATTCATCGTTGTTTAATGTAGGAACGCAACAACTGGAAACATACTTCAGCAACGAAAAGCTTAGTTTCATTTATTACGTTACTAGTCTAAGACACGCAGAAAACACTACTACTTACATATAATGCAGTCTTCCATCTCATAACAGACATTTCCACTTTGCATGCAACATTTCTTTTATGAACCACTGTAATATTAATGGTCTTATGTTTCTGAACTGTGCGAAATATATAAAAATTACTAAAATTGTTTGTTTCTTTCTTTCTTTAGGATTTTCATGAAAAGCCACCCAAGGACCACCTACACATAGCCGTTCTTAGTTTTGAACTGACAGATTAGAGGGAAGGCAGCTGATCAACAGCGCCCATCGTCAATTCTTGAATGGTAGGATTTGACTGTCACTCATATAGCGCACCTACGGCCCAAAAGAGAAAAGCACGTTTCTCTGGAAAGACGATGCGAACTATGAACTCTCATATTCATGGTTAGTGCACGCTAAACGCTAAGCCACACCCAGTCTTAATTGCTAAAATACAGAATTGACACGTACTACAGCAGTAAATTCAGTATAAGCAAAAAACACGCATCGCAGCATAATTCACAAAATCCACCTCACCCCCCCGCAGTGGCTCAGCGTTAAGGCTTATAATATTAAAACCGACATTAAATACCCGTGGTGGGCGCAGCACAGACAGTTCATTGCGTAGTTTTGCAGTTGATAACAACAACAAAATAAACAAAATTTATTTACAAGCATTATGAAAACGAATAGTAAAAAGAACAAGTAATCATATACATAAATACATTTCAAATAAAAGGTTAAACAAACGAGAGGTGAGTGTTAATAACTATTTCGCTAGTCATTATCTAGGTATATATATATAATTTTTATTAATCTGATTGACATTTTGGTTTGGTCGCTTGTAAAACATGATGCTCGACATGCACTTATGAGTTTCAAAGTACATACTTCGCTGAACATAAATAAATACATAAATTTTATACGATATTGTAATGGATTAATTTTCATAATGAATGTATAAAAGTATGTATATGCCACTCACAAAAATATTGATTGCATCTTTGTTTTGAAACGTTCGTGATTCTTTCTTAAACGTGGTATACATAGCCAAGTTCGCATGCCGTGTCTTATATGTATATGTATATAAGTTGGTGCATGTTAACAATAATATGACCTTTCAAAAATATTGACTGCATCTTTGTTTTATAACTTGCGTGATCCTTTGTTCTACATGATAAACATTTACCATAGTTCGCATGTCGTGTCTTGTACTATAGAAAAATAAAATCTGGCGGGTGTTAACAATGATATGACCTTTTTATTTGGCTATAGGCATTTAGTACGTGATACCAACTTAATGGAAGTATGCCGAAAATTCAGTGTACACTCCTTGATTATAGTCCTTTATAATCAGTACTATAAATTTGTCGAACAAATGGGATGTTTGTAGCAATATTAGTGCTTTATGTAGGATTAACGATAACATGTGCGTATTCTTTCCCTCAGCTTTTATTTATTTATTTTTATCAAAATAAATCTGTTGACCAGAAGTTAGACCTAAACCTATACACTTATACTTGTCAAAATATTTCCAGATACTAATCTACCTCTCTATCTATCTGACAATACACAAAAATTATAAATTATCTCAGAAAGATAAATATTATAATTAGATTATCTGTAATAAGGAAAATATAGTTAGGTAGAGGAATAGATTGATCTCGAGTAATCATTATACTTATCGAATTTTGAACTTTTGTTCAAAAAGAAACATTTAATACATAACTTTGGATACATGATACAACAAGCACAAATAGTCATAGAATAATTTACGACTAGTTCTAATAAAAGTTGCACAAACTTTATCTTCAGAAGCTCAAGATGAACTATTTTGCTATATTTTGGCAAAAATATAAAATTTACCACATAGGACCTCATTCTTACAAGTTTGTTTGCAAAGAAATGTTCCCTGGTGGAAGAGAGGTAAGTCTACGGACTTCCAACACTAAATTCGATGACGAGGAACCCACTTTGAGACTAATAATGTTTGGAGACGGCTTGAATGGGTAATGAAGAAAAACTTTAATATAAGTTTAACATAACAGCAAATGTACAACGTTTCGACAAAGTTTTGTTATCATCAGGTACCTGATAAAACAAACAACCAAACAAACAAACAAATCCAAAGAAACCTTTTGCATTCGGAGATGTGCACAAGTCCGCCGATAGGAAGAGGCAGAAGGGGAAACTGCACAGGGTCTCGGGCGAATGAAACCTGGTTATACAGTAAAGCCCGCAAAGCACCTTTAGGCATTATCTTCATTTAATCGTAAACAGCATAGTTTTTGGCTTTTCTTTGCATATAGACGCTTGATAAATTAGGAATGATTGAAATAATAATTTGAGTAATAATTAATATATATATATTTGTTACTTTATAGATTTAATAAATATTTGTTGTTACTTTATTAACGTTTTTACGCTTATATTGGGAGCTAAAAACGGCTGCTACTATGATTTAGCCTTGTTTATGAGGTCGTTGCTGTCCAACTTTAGGATCTTCTTTTTTAATAAGTTCTTTAAAATGTTAAAAAAGAGAGAGAAAGAGGCCTAGCGAAGATGTTTACATCGCGTACCGTGCTGGTTTTCGACGCTCCTGAATGTGCAAAACAGTTTCATAATGCTTATATGATTTTCTTATTTATAAAACTGTATATACGTATTTTTCTTCTGGGTAAAAAACTTAAGCTAAATACCATAATATATACATATTATGTAAGCATCATCGTTTAAATAG